GTGTGATCGTCACCTATGAAGCCAGCCAATGTTACTGTGCATCTGCAAATAACGGTTCATAAACGAATATAGACACGAAGTATTCGATCATGCACGAAATAATGATATGAAACACACCTGAGACATGACTGGCATTCTTGATATGCATCTCGAGACAGGTGTATTTTCGCGATACTCCAGTAAATTTTCATCATTGCTCGAATATTGCCAAGTTGTTGATGAACTGTTAAAGATTGTTCGTAGTAAGCAATTGCTTCGTTTGCATGAAACAATGCCCAGTGACTATCACCCAATTTGGCGCAGATCTGCAATGAAACTGACTCTGCTTATTCCAATAAACTTTATCTGGTAGGAAAAGTGCTTTGAATACAATAATAAGACAAAAGTATTTACAATGCTAAAATTTAGCTATTAGTTGATCAGCTTCTTAGTTCACCTATCTTTTTTGATTTTATGTGCTCATGGGAATGTCGTTCGGAATTCTGAACTGCTTAAAAGGAGTGTTTGAAACACCACGATTTGGACTGAATCGCATATTCGAGAATGGTTTAAAATGAACTGGTGAGGAGGTGAAGAAAATTCAGATTAAGAAATCTTCACGGTGACATCGACGAAATCAATTGACGAGTTGCATTCAGAATGAAAAAATTGACAAAAAAAACTCACAATTCAATCAGATGACTACTCAATGAATTCAATGAACTTCTCGAAATTTGACCACTAAATGAATGTTAAAGACACTAACTTCTGCTTCACGAGATGCATCGCCGTCTTCTTGGACGAGCATAAGGCATTGTTCATAATGGTCGATCGCTTCGCTGAAATCGCCTCGATCAAACGAGAAATCGGCACTATCCTCCAGAATCACCGCTTCTTTGGCTGTTGTGCCATTTTCATTGTACAAATTGCGCATTGCCTCGAAATGCTTCAGTCGAAGTTCCTTCAGAACAACAATTATCACCACTACCCATTGGTTTAGGTAATTTTAGAGGCAACAAAAAATTCAAAATTCATAATATTTTGCAATGTAGGAAATGATACATGACTTAAGCATATGGCAATCATTGAAGGGAGCGAGGGAACCATTATGATGGTCAATTTATCCGAAATAACCCATACCGCCTGCACAGTAATCGGTTTGAGTGGAATTTTCGGCTTGTTGAGTTAGACAACTAGGACTGATTTTTAGCGAATTCTTCCAAAAAGCTCATTGAAGGGAGTACCTGATCTCGTTTATGTTGCCGATAGAATCGAATTAAATCCGAATGCGCATCAATGGCAATTGATGATGAAGAGATTCTTTCAGCTAATCTCAATCGNTTCTGAAGCACTTCTTCTGCTTGATCCATATTGTTGCAGCTCTCGTTCAGTTTTGCAAGACATTTTAGACTGTTCAATCGCGTTTCTGTGTAAACAGTATTATTGACAAGGCTTGTTAGATACAACGTGATGGATTAGGATATAATCAAAAATCCGAATGGCATTGATTTTGTTTGGATTGGTGAGGGAATGCAGCCTCATTAATGATTTCAAGCTTCATTTGAAAGTTGGTAATCATAACTGGACACCTGCGTACACTTGTGCTTATGACTGAGTTACGTTCAGGAGTTTTTTGGACTGTTTCTTTGCTCAATCAACGCCAATCTGTATGAAGAATCTGATATGAAATGCAAGCAAGTGACCTACCGATGTTATCGTTCTGAATCAACTCATCATATTTGCTCCACAAAGTTAGTGCATTCCGAGGATCCTCTATTGCCTCGTACACACTCGCCATATTCCTTCAAAGAAGTCTTTATTAAACGAAAAAGTTCAATTCAAAAAATTTCGGAATGGTATTGAAATGATCACTGGACAAGTATCAGTCGAAAGTTTTTCACTATGAATGAAAGATAACTAAGACCTAAAAAAATCTTTTGTGATTTTGTTCTCCTCGAACCAGTGACTCTAGAAAATATGTTTTTTAATGGTTACCTGAGAGCATCGGCTTCAAGACTACGTGACGAACATCCGATTGCGATCTTCAGTTGCTTTTTGGCCCATTTTCGGGAGTTACGATACTGACCAATAGCCAGATTGCATTCGCTTAGTATGCCAAATAGTAGGCCTACCTTAAATGCGAGAATGGATATCATTTGATTGAAACGATGCAGTTACTTGATATGTTTGGCAGTTAGATCATATAGCTGATTTGATCAAGTCGAAATGAAATTTTGGCCAAAAAATTCCGCTCAGATGATGATAAATTGAAACATACAACTAATGGCGATGGTTCTTCAGTGGAAATTCTCGCAGTTGTTGACTTAAGGATTCGTAGAGCTTTGTTTGGCTCCGATTGTCTCAGAAGGCATTTGCATCGAATTAGTGTCACTGTAATTCGTTCGTCTGGAGTGGCGCTCATCCGCTCCATTTGATCACAATAGCCGATTGCTTCGGCTAGTTGGTTCTAGAAAAATTGCTATCAGTGAAAGGATTTATTAACAGAATCTTTCGACTGCTCATTTTTGCATCATCAATATTTTAAACTTTCAAAAATTCAATGATTTAATACGCTCTAAAGCAATAAATAATGACATGTTTTTATGTAATTCTATTTCTACATTTTATGTGTAATGATCAAAATGAAGAGATCACAACAAAATTCGTTAAGCAATTACGTGCGATATACCGCATAACTTCATAGTAATTAAACGCACATACACTACCTTAGCGATTGCAATTTTCGCACGATTCATCAGAAAATTGATACTGATCGAATTGACCTTTGAAAATGCGATTGTGGCCGCGTCCACTTCACCCATTTGAGCGAAAAGACCACCGAGTGTCTCGTAGAGACTGTCTGCTGGTTCATTTTGCTGTAATATTGCACCAGCAATTATATTAATATGCGATTATGGCAATTATATCATCACGATACATTGATACATTCCAATAGCAAATGTAATTTAGCAGATAATTGATTCATAAAATTAGCACACTAATGACAAGTAATGAGGTAATCCGATGAATAAGACGACTACTTTGCTGTCAAAATAATTTTTTGCGAGATTTTCAAAATGCATCCTCACTTCGTATTTCTAATGTATGACTGCGATTGCTTGGCTCTTATTTGTTGCGAACTTCAGACAAAACAGATCATTTGAAGAATGTGAAAAATTTACAAGAATTCATCTTACTAGGAAACCTCACGAACTTACCCCCGCCTTTCGGAATGAGACCTATATCGTTTTGTAGGGCTCATGCAGCTGATCACAGATATGCAAAAAATTTTTGCAGCGGACAAAGGGGACACGAGTTATAACTGGATAGGACAGGGTATCATTAATAAATTGCTATTATACAATTATTACTGATACCATTATGGCAGCAATTTAACATCTGTTTGTTTCTTTCACTATATGACGGTGACCATTTCTATATGAACATAAATTTGAAGTTATTAAATTGCACGGATAAAATATTAACCTTATGTTTCAGTTCAATTGCGTGTCTGATGTGCAGAATGGCAAGAGGAAGTTCGTCCTCCATGAAAGCAATTTTCGCAATGTTTTCGTGAATCAGCAATTGATTAGGCACATCTTCTGAATACAATACAGTACGTTTTCAGCTGGTAACAGTGGAATTGTACGAATCAAATTTCGTATTAGATATCAACTTTTGCACCGTCAGAAGTTGTCCACAATTTGATCAGTATACGGTAAACACTCAGAGTGTTAATAGAAATTTGTATGGCAATAGTTTCGATCGTTTGAAACCTTTGATTTCAATTAATGATTTTCAAATGACAAAAATTTGAAATTGAATTGCATAACTACAATGAATTCATATTCTGAGTTCAAAAAAATTTACGATATCACTTAATGGTATGTTATTGTGGGTAAAGGAAGGATTAAGAAAAGAAGGGCACTCATATTCACCAAGTTGATGGGCGATTTCGAGTTGTATATCAAGATAATCAATGGCTTTGCGATAGTTGCGTAGCTCATAGTGTGCCCTCGACAGAGCACCCAATACGGAGTGTTTCAATTGCAACGATTCGGTATCGATATCGATTGCATGATTCAATACAACGATAGCGCCGGGTGCATGACCATGAGCCAGTAGTTGTTCACCGATTGCACTGACCACTACGAAAGCATCCAAACATCCACTAATGGTCTTCAGTGAACTCAGAACAGATGAGAGATCTTCTGAAAGGACCCTTCAATTTGCAATTGAAGTGATGCAGTATGTGGCTGTTTCAATGAGGTGTTGGTTTCAAGTAACTTTAGTATGCAGCTCATTGTGAAGAAAGATTCTTTATCAGCGAATAGTTTTAGTTACAGGCGATTTTTTGGAAGGAATCAGTCTGCTTGTATCAACAGGGAGCACAGGATTCGGTTCGGTTGAAGAAACCGTTCATTGGTTTGTTCGATCAAAGAATTCAGAAACGTTTAAGCGATTTCTGGAAAAAGCGAGCAAATATCCCAAATCGGTGAAAAACGGTTTAATTGGTTAGTCGTCGAAAATTTCAATGTGTCATCATTATTTTTCGCAACTATGTTTTCTGAATGGTTCAGTGAAGCTATAGTGAGATTTGAGGATTGGTTAGTCGATTTGACAGTCAATGAATTGAGAGCACCTCGTATGGCACTCGCATAAGAGCACTGGATTAGCGCGTTGAGCAGTTGAGAATTTTCTTTATCCACTGTCAAACCTTTGCAATACGCTATGATTGCTTTTTCGAACTTGCCAGCTCCTTTCAGCGAGTCACCCTTCCGCAGATAAGCCTACAAATTGCTCAGTTTTTTTTAATGCTTCGAAAATTCTGAACAGTTCTTCAGTATGAACAGATAAGATGCAATTATGTTTTCTGAATGGTTCAGTGGATTAAGTTTAGCGCTCCAACCGAAAGATAGCAAATATTTCCAGAGCTTTTTTTAGATAAATTTTGAAGTTCAGAATTGAAAACACTTCAGGGATTTTCAGAATTTTATCACTTTTTATTGTAAAGTAATTGAAAACGGTTTCATGGTAATGAGGACAAATAATCACTCACTTTAGCCCAATTAGGATTCAGTTGAATCGAATGTTCAGCTTGTTGCAGAGACTCGTCGAATCTGCCCAATCGACATAAAATAGCGGCTCGATTCGAGAAGAGAACATGATTCGTGCAATCAAGAAGCACAGCCTGGTCGTACAAGTGTAACGCCTGAGCAAGATCACCTCTCGAATAGAAAACACTCGCTTGCTCTACCAAAACTGCTAACTTTTCTGTTTGATCCACTTGATTCATCGCTATCTGATCATCCTCATCATCGATGCGGATTATCACTTAGTACAGATTCTTGTTGAATCCATAATCACTCATCTTAGTTGAACAATTCATCGTCCTTCTGCAAACGAGTACACACTGGAGCGATGAATTAATGAACGCATTAGTACAAAGCGATAAAAATATCAAAGAAGTTAGTTTGTTGAAAAAGGACATAGAGAATTTATCTGACATTAAAGATTGCTTATACCTAACAAGTTACCATTTACCATTTAGTATTAGATTGAATATAAACATATATAATCAAAGAACTGAGTATGTCTCAAGAAGTACTCTTGTACTTTTGTATTTGTATGTCTCACGAACGTACGAAACAATTAAGAATCATTTAGTATTATAGTATTAAACACTTTGTCAATCACACACTCAACTGGATGGATCGCTAAGCTGCTGAAGTTCTACGCATTTAGACTGATGAATTCGTTTAAAATCTGAAGAAATCTCCCCAAGTAAGCCGAAAATCTAAACAGACACAACGAACGAAAGTGTTCATGCAGGAGTAATGAAAATGTTAGGATATCGGAGCACATAACTGAGATATAATATGTCTGACCGGTGCGATCAGTCCAATAGATCATATCTCACGATATCTGACGATAAGTTGAATAAACATTTATGTTTGAGTCTGACGGACGGACACTCACTCATCAATCCTCCGCAAACGATTAATGCCGATTTGCGGTAAATAAACACAGTAACAAAAAGATGAAGAAGAAGGAGAAAACGAAGTGAGTTGGTAAGAACCGAGGTTGTGAACATTATAATTGATGAGGAAGGAGGTGGGAGGGGGAGTCTATCTGAGCTGAACAGTGAAATATCGTGAAGAACTGAGACGAAACTACTGTTCGATACGGCAAGTAATAAACGGTGGAATAATGAAGTTACGAGGTGATTTATTCATGAAATAATGAGTTAAATGGGAGGAGAAGTGATAGTCAATCGGCGCACGCGTAATGAGGATACATGGATGGATGTGGGTATTTATCTATATGACAATTTCAATAAATTTTATTTGAGTGTATCATGAAAAATAAATGAATGCGCAGTCGATTCTAAGCGTTTCAATGAAAAATGTTACGGATAATGTTGGCGATGCGAGTGGAAAATGTTCATAAAGTACTACTTGAGTGAGTTGATTATGGTGGCAATCGAAAAGTTCTTCACTGGAAAATATCCACATAAACATGCAAATAAATGCGTAGAGATGAGCATCGATGAATCAATCAAGGTGTATTATTATTACATTTGTCCTTGCCATTATTGTCACACAGTCGCTTCTTCCACTAACCAACCGTTCAATTTTGATCGTTCCTTACAATATCCCATCTTTATTGTTGAGTCAAAATATTCTCCCTGCTCGTCCTCTTACTCCTCATTAGTTCAGCCAGCCAATCCGAAATCTTAATCTCAATTCCTCAGTTCATCCTTTCAAAAGCTTTCAATCACTTTTAGTCAGTTTTTTTTAAATGATGATTCTCCATATTCATTCCTTCCTCAGATCGGGCGATTGTGCGTTTGCATCGATGTGACCGTTGATGTTTACGCTGACATCTGATCTATAACAACATCTGAAGTGATCAAATAACTGAAGTATTTTACAAACATTATTCATTTTCGTCGGCATAATCACCACAAATAATAACATTTTCACGCACGACGATAATCTGGGGTGGGGGGCAAATCCTACAAAGATATTGATATCTTGTTCGAATGTTGATTCCCATAAAGGTATGCAAATGGGTTATATTCAATCTCATTAATAATGAGGTGTAACTGATCTCAAATGTAATACTTCCTAATCGGTCAATCACTGTCACATTTGGGATTCAGCGTTCAGATATCATAAATCTTCTTTTGAACACACGATATCAATGTATCCACTCTCATTTATATGCAAATAAGATTTGATGGGTGCAATGTGATGAGTCAAGAAGAAGGAGTGGGAATGAGACGAACGAATAAGCGTAGCAAATTGAACGCAATCGCTAATTTATTTAGTTTAGGTGATTAAGGGTCTTATGATGAATAATTGCGTTGACCTTGAGCGTTCTTAACGATGATGAAGATGAATAAATGAAATGCATCATCGATTATTTGCTGATTCGTTCAATTTATTTAATTGAAATTCATTTCATTTCGTTTTATGTTCATTGCAAAATTACCTTCATGTACACATGCACAGATGTGTTAATTGGTCGAACAAAAACTGGTTGATTACACCAAATGATTATGCACACATTCATTTTTTTGGTATACTTTCGATCACACACTCAAATGATGAACTTTTCGAATTTTTGTAAAGTCTTGACACAACTACTCTCTCGCAACACTTTTTGCAGTTAATCTCTGTTTAAAATAATTCGAATTATTCAATTAGAGATCACATTCTCAGAGCATATTTTCAAATCGCACTCACCAAATGCCTATAATAGATCATATTTTTAACTGGCTATAATAAACTGCTGTCGCAATTGGCGAAGCATGAACACTGTTTTACGAGGCTACTCAATAAAAATTTTCATTTCACCGCATCCGCAGTTCATATGTTCACAGTTCATAATCCATTTCAAGATGTTTCTTATGACTTCCGCATCAATGAATCGATCCTTCATATGCAACAAGCCAAATTCAGA